GTAGCCATCAGCTTTGCCCACCAGTCTCTTAGTATTCTAATTATGCAAATCAATATATGTAGACAACTCATTATTCATAAAGAAATCAACCACATCCAGTACCATATCCACTGCAACCTAAAGGCTATATTATATGCAGAATGGCAATGCAGCTGGATTTGTACAGCATGGAATGCCAGACAAGTAGCTGCAATCCAGCTTCAGACTTCCCCCATATGCCTTGCTTAATGTGGCAATAAATATATAAAATAAGAAGTAAAGAAAATATAACTGGATGAACAATCTGATTTAATGTTTCTGTACCATCCTTTATAGGCATTAGTACACTTTAGATCTCTTTGTTGACAGTGAGGTTTATTTACTAAAGTTGGTTCACTCAAAATCTCGTGCACTTCTGCATGGAAACCAATCAACTTTCAGATTTTATTGCTAAAGCTTAATTGAATAAGTTGAGGTTAGAAGCTGATTGACAACCATGCACAAGTGCTCGAGATTCTGAGTGAACCAGCTTTAGTAAATCTCTCCCAGAGTGCATTCAAATTCCTGTATACTGCCATTTGGGTGTGCTTTGCGTAGAGCAGCGGTTCTCAACCTGTGGGTCGCAACCCCTTTGGGGGTCGAACGACGCTTTCACAGGGGTCGCCTAAGACCATCGGAAAACACATATTTCTGATGGTCTTAGGAACTGAGACACCACTCTGCTAGCCGTCTCCAGGTGTGGGCGGGATGACATGCCGCCCCTGTCATCTGGACACACCCCCGGGATCAATCCTTGCCGGTGATTGGCCGTCGGAACTGTAGCTCAGGAGAGGCACACAGGCGGCCAATCACCGACGAGGAGGTGGAGCTTGGAGAGGAGGAGCTGAGCGGCACCGCGAAGATCGAGCGAGTGAAGAGGAGCAGAGCGGCCGGAGAAGGAAGACAGCTGACCGGTAAGTGTCTGTACCATGGGAGAGGGAGGGAGCGAGCGAGCCCAGGCTGGAGCAGGGGTCAGCAAGGTAAGTATCATTAGTGTCAGTGGGAGGAATAGTGCCCAATCATTGGTGTCACTAATACCAATGATGGGGCACTATTCCTCCCACTAACACCAACGATGGGGCACTATTCCTCCCCCACTGACACAAACGATGAGGCACGATTCCTCCCCCCACTGACACCAACGATGGGGCATGATTCCTCCCCCCACTGACACCAACGATGGGGCATGATTTTTCCCCCCACTGACACCAACGATGGGGCATGATTCCTCCCCACACTGACACTAACGATGGGGCATGATTCCTCCCCCCACTGACACCAACGATGGGGCATGATTCCTCCTTCCACTGACACCAACGATGAGACACTATTCCTCCCACTGACACCAACGATGGGGCACTATTCCTCCCACTGATACCAATGATGGGGCACTATTCCTCCCACTGACACCAATGTTGGGGCATTATTCCTCCCACTGATACCAGTGATGGGACACTTTTCCTCCCACTGATACCAGTGATGGGACACTTTTCCTCCCACTGATACCAGTGATGGGACACTTTTCCTCCCACTGATACCAGTGATGGAACACTATTCCTCCCACTGACACCAGTGATGGGGCACTATTCCCCCCACTGACACCAGTGATGGGGCACTATTCCCCCCACTGACACCAATGATGGGGCACTATTCCCCCCCACTGACACCAATGATGGGGCACTATTCCTCCCACTGACACCAGTGATGGGGCACTATTCCCCCCACTGACACCAATGATGGGGCACTATTCCCCCCACTGACACCAATGATGGGGCACTATTCCTCCCACTGACACCAGTGATGGGGCACTATTCCTCCCACTGACACCAGTGATGGGGCACTATTCCCCCCATTGACACCAATGATGGGGCACTATTCCCCCCACTGACACCAACGATGGGGCATGATTCCTCCCCCCACTGACACCAACGATGGGGCATGATTCCTCCCCCCACTGACACCAACGATGGGGCATGATTCCTCCCCCCACTGACACCAACGATGGGCCATGATTCCTCCTCCCACTGACACCAACGATGGGGCACTATTCCTCCCACTGACACCAACGATGGGGCACTATTCCTCCCACTGACACCAACGATGGGGCACTATTCCTCCCACTGATACCAGTGATGGGACACTTTTCCTCCCACTGATACCAGTGATGGGACACTATTCCTCCCACTGACACCAACGATGGGACACTATTCCTCCCACTGACACCAATGATGGGCACTATTCCCCCCACTGACACCAATGATGGGGCACTATTCCCCCCACTGACACCAATGATGGAGCACTATTCCCCCACTGACACCAATGATGGGGCACTATTCCCCCCACTGACACCAATGATGGGGCACTATTCCCCCCACTGACACCAACGATGGGGCACTATTCCCCCCACTGACACCAACGATGGGGCACTATCCCCCCCACTGACACCTATGATGGGGCACTATTCCCCCCACTGACACCTATGATGGGGCACTATTCCCCCCACTGACACCTATGATGGGGCACTATTCCCCCCACTGACACCAATGATGGGGCACTATTCCTCCCACTGACACCAACGATGGGGCACTATTCCTCCCACTGATACCAGTGATGGGACACTTTTCCTCCCACTGATACCAGTGATGGGACACTATTCCTCCCACTGACACCAACGATGGGACACTATTCCTCCCACTGACACCAATGATGGGGCACTATTCCCCCCACTGACACCAATGATGGGGCACTATTCCCCCCACTGACACCAATGATGGAGCACTATCCCCCACTGACACCAATGATGGGGCACTATTCCCCCCACTGACACCAATGATGGGGCACTATTCCCCCCACTGACACCAACGATGGGGCACTATTCCCCCCACTGACACCAACGATGGGGCACTATCCCCCCCACTGGACACCTATGATGGGGCACTATTCCCCCCACTGACACCTATGATGGGGCACTATTCCCCCCACTGACACCTATGATGGGGCACTATTCCCCCCACTGACACCTATGATGGGGCACTATTCCCCCCACTGACACCTATGATGGGGAACTATTCCCCCCACTGGCACCAATGATGGGGCACTATTCCCCCCACTGACACCAATGATGGGGCACTATTCCCCCCACTGACACCAATGATGGGGCACTATTCCTCCCACTGACACCAATGATGGGGCACTATTCCCCCCACTGACACCAATGATGGGGCACTATTCCTCCCACTGACACCAATGATGGGGCACTATTCCCCCCACTGACACCAATGATGGGGCACTATTCCCCCCACTGACACCAATGATGGGGCACTATTCCTCCCCCTGTCACCAATGATGGGGCACTATTCCTCCCCCTGACACCAATGATGGGGCACTATTCCTCCTACTGATACCAATGATGGGGCACTATTCCTCCCCCTGTCACCAATGATGGGGCACTATTCCTCCCACTGACACCAATGATGGGGCACTATTCCTCCCACTGATACCAATGATGGGGCACTATTCCTCCCCCTGTCACCAATGATGGGGCACTATTCCTCCCACTGACACCAATGATGGGGCACTATTCCTCCCACTAACACCAATGATGGGGCACTATTCCTCCCATTGACATCAGTGATGGGACACTATTCCTCCCACTGACACCAATGACGTGGGACTACTCCTCCCACTGCAAAATTACAGTTATGAAGTAGCAACGAAAATAATTTTATGGTTGGGGGTCACCAGAACATGCGGAACTGTATTAAGGGGCCGCGGCATTAGGAAGGTTGAGAACCACTGGCGTAGAGTGTAGTGACAGGTCTCATCTACAGAGTACAGACACCTTATTACTATACTGAAACTGTTTAATAAAGCAGGACTTTTAGAGCTATCTACTGAAACTTAAGATGCAAAAGTTTACAAGCCCAACAGTGGCATTTAGCTGGACATGGGGCACAAGAGTGCAGAACTAAGTGCACTCCTGTGACCTGCAGGAGATCTTTGGCCCTACTTCTCCTTGAGCCCTGGTTCACACTGATGCTGTGTGGAATTTGCAGCATTTTCTGTGTGAATTCTGCATCTCATCAGAATCACACCCTGTTAATGCGAACCGCTGCGAGTGTGTATGTTAAGTTAACAACACCCGAAAGCGGGCCTCTAAATGCAGTGCGATGTGCAGAATCAGATTGCATAGGTGTGAATACCCATGTGAACTGATTCTAGCGCTGACCCAAAAAAAGGTCCTACGCCTTCTTTGCACAGGAATGTGGTGCGGTTCCTATACGAATCACATGCGATATACCGCACCACATATATGTGAACCCAGGCTAAAGGATAGAAAAACCTTCTGACGTGCAGCTCCTCCCCAATCACCCCCCTTATACTTACCTTTGCCGAATCTCAATCAAGTACTGTGCAGGAGAGCAGCGGTTCTGTCCGCTCTCTCACTCCTTATAGGCAACGGGAACCAATCGCTATCAATTACAGCCAGTGAGGAGAGCGCAGAGGGCAGGTCCAAGCTGCGCTCTGTGTGCGAATGGACACAAAGAGGGTGGCTTCTGAGCCTGTACAAGTGCCCCCATAGCACGTGACCCAAGAAGAGAAGGATTGGGCTGCTCTGTAGAAAACTAGTGCACAGAGCAAGTAAGTATGACATGTTTGTATATTTATAAAAAAAATATGGATTTCCAATCACTTTAACATCCTTAGTGGTCTGATTATGTCCATATTTCTGTGCTCAAAGCAGTACATTTTTTTTTCTTTTAAATATGTATTTTTTTTATTGTAGGCCTGTAATTTTTAGGAATAACTTACTGAAATCTGTCCGAACAAGAGTCTAGTAAATATCCCGGGTGTGTTAACCACTTCCTGTCCGGACACTTTTACCCCCTTCCTCTCCAGGGCAATTTTTAGCTTTCAGCGCTATCACACTTTGAATGACAATTGCGCGGTCATGCAATACTGTACCCATATGAATTTTTTACCATTTTTTTGAGACAGATAAAGCTTTATTTTGGAGGTATTTATTCACCGCTGGGATTTTTATTTTTTTTACTATGTAAATGAAAAAGTTCAAAAATTTTGAAAAAAAGTGTTTTTTTAAATAAAATTTTGCAAATAAATAATATTTCATCATAAATCTTAGCCAAAATTTATTCCGTTATCTTTTTTAGTAAAAAAAAAAAATCCAAATTAGTTTATAACCAAAAATTATAATTTTTAAACATTTTTTTTACATTTTTATTTTTTTTTATATTATTATTTTTTATTTATTTATTTTTTTTTTACATACTGTCACCCTAGCAGTACACTGTCACCATAGTGACACTGTACTACTTGTGGAGGGTGATGAAGATTTTGTTTTGTTTTTTTTACACTGATTGCTTTTACACCCATATAGGATGTAAAAGCAATCATTTCTCTTTCTCTCTGTCTGCATTCCTGCAGTCATTGAGAATTACTGGGTGAGCTGTGAGTGGTCACAGCTTGTCACATGGTACAAGGCTGTTGTGAATAGCCTTGTACCATGTGACCTCTGTGATCATTCACAGATTTCACACATAGTAAGCAATGATGTCACAAGTGACATCTTGCTTACTACTTTGCATGTGATCACTGATTCGCCAATCAGTGATCACATGATCGGGACCTCGTACAGAGGTCCCGTACGACGATCGGTGTTTCACTGTGTCCAGAGGACACAGCGGGCACCGGATCGCGGTGGTGCGCGCACCCAGGGAGCGCGCACAGCTAGAAAAGGCGGGTGCCGTTTATGGACGGCAACCCGACCCTGGACTGCCACCGCCCTGCCGTTTATAAACAGCAGGCGGACGGCAAGAGGTTAAAATTTGAAACACGAAGTCATAAATTATAATTTAATAAATAATCATAAATAATAATAATAAGTTTAATTCAATAATCAAACCAAAAACACTGAAATTTGAAATATAGCGCCAAGTTCGCACATCACTGAGCAAAGTCGCAAAATCGTTTTTAGTGTCTGATGACGAATTTCCCCATGAATCATTATCACTCAATTCTGCAAGTAGATCTAATTTACTATCGCTGTTCTCTAGCTGGTCTAAAACCGATTTTGACCTAAAGGGACGCTTTTTGGACACCATGGACATTTCCAGGCAAAAAGAACAAAAATGTAGGCAGGGCACAGGACAAAGCACTCGGGACAAAATGTATGTGAAATGGTTTGATACAGTAATGTTTTACTATGTTATTTTAGTGTATTTAGTGAATGTCACTTTTTGTCATTTTCAAATTTCCCACCGTTCCGTCCCCAGTACGTCCCGACGTCGCAGGGGACGGAACCCAGAAGACAGATGCCGGCATCCGCCGGAGGACATTGCAGGGGACACTGCAGGGGGGACATCGCGGGAGCGCAGGACAAGGTAAGAGAAGAACAGATCCAGAAGCAGCGCCGCATGGTAAGTCCGAGCGTAGCTCGGGGTTACCGCTTGTGGTACTGAAACTTTACCCCGAGCTACACAGGGAGGCTACTGGTGTGTGTGTAGCCTGGCCAATGGCCCATTCAAGGTGGGAGATGAACAGCTTGGCCATTTCCACAGCTGTGCAGCAGTTTGCTACTCCTGCCCACAGCCTTTGATAAACAGGCTACCATCAGAGGGGACAAAGCAGGATTCTGACTGGCCACCTAGGCAGCCAGAAGATATAACCCTGACCTCAGCACACTAAGGGAAGAATGGGGGGCAACACACCAGGGCACCAGGTAGAGGACAGGAGACATGTGGAACTGCAGCAGGGCAGTGGGTGCTGTGTTTCAGTGTGTGTTTGCTGACAGGTTTCTGTACTACAGAGGCTATGTGATCTGTGGAAGCAGAGATTGGGGACACACCCAGACAAAGTGATATATCTCTTGTCCACCATCATCCAGCCAGGACAGTGTGGCCTACTACTCATCTGCCTCCATCTAGCCTGCAGGGACCACAGCCAGGGAAAAGACTGAAGAGGACCTCTGAACCTTTTACTGTGGATAGTTGGGATACTTTATAAAGGAACCCTTTTACTTCTTTGGGTGGATTACAAATACATTTACTTTAAGAATGAATAATCCACTATTACATTGGAAGGGCCCATGTGCTGGGAGATTTTGTAATAGATTCATTCATTGGCCAATGAATAGATAGGGTCTATTTGACTGTAGTTGGGTCCCTGTAGTTAGTTTCGTCCTCCTTATGTCATCTTGGGTATATTGGTTGCATTGTTTGTTGTGTTATTAAACCACTTTATCTATTTTTGCCAAGCCTGTTTAACCTAATCTGTATATCAGGGCTTAAAGTGTTACTAGACCCAGGACCCTACATTCACTATATCTGGTCTCCCACAGTACACAGAACATGGAAATGCAATTATTTTTAGTAAATATAAACTGCTAAATACCTTTTCTCATCAGCAGTATGCAGCAGTCTTGTGACTTCTATCGGTGTTCAGGAGAGCACTAGTTAAAGCTTGTAGGAGGAGTTTCATTCTCCTCTAGGAGCATGCAGGACCTCTGACCTCTGTCTGGACAGTGCTGATTGGCCCTGTGTTGATTACATGCACTCTCCCAAGAAAAAAAAAAAGCTTCTCTAGCAATACACACTACACTGAGCATGTGCAGAGGGACTCCACATGACATGTCTTATGAGGAGATAAGAGAGGGACACTGAAAGAAAGGGAAGATCAGAGAACAGAGGATCAAGCAGCCTTTTTAGAAAATGCAGAGAATTAACCATTTAGGTTCCACAATGAGTATAACAAGCATGCTTTACTGCATTTGCAGACTGATTTTACTTTTGTGAGTATAGTAACACTTTAATGCTAGTTTTAATAAAGCCCATTTATCACCACTGGCGTATCAGTGTATTGTCAGGTCAGTTTACAGCAGGTTACCGCTGGTAATAATAGGTGTCCAATATTTATGGCAGACCCTTTGGTGGTCACTGCTACACATACTGGTGGAAACGTATTTGGAAGCTGCACAGCTATGTTAAATTGACAAATTCAAATTCTGATTAGTTTTTAAAGAGAGTTCCTGGAAACACCCGAAGTAAGGAAAGGTAAGTGTATGTTAATTACACTTTCCTGTAGGGTGTATTTTCCAAGATACTGAAAAGTGTGCGTAATTCGCACAGCAGTTATTCACTGGATAAAGGGAAGCTTTCCTGACTTCCATCACCATCATCCAAATATGTGCAAGCAAACATCACTAATTTAGCAAACATAACATCATTCATTTTCAAGTTTTTTTCTGATCAAGGAAATATTCACATAGCTTTGTAAATAAGGTGAAGCTGTGTTGATTTTGATCATTTTTGCACAAACTAAAATCCTGGTTATGTTTATTCTTTCCTTGCACATAATTAGGTATTTTTGTCAAAGGGAATTTTCACTTTTGAAATTCAGCTGGTTCATGTCTGTGAGCGTGAGCATGCACGTTTGAACTGGTTTTTGAACCTACTGGCCTATTTAAAAGCACTGCAAGACTCAAGATCTTTTGCTGAATGGTCATCATCTCCTTTGACCTGTGACCAGACCTTGCTTGTTCCTGTGATTCACCCGATTTGCCTATTGACTACGCTTTGTATTGATCTCTCCGGTACCTGACCACTGGCTTTCTTCTTGACTCCACATCTTTTTTATCCACTTGGGTTATCTTCTACCCATGTGATACTAACCTCAGCCTGGCTCCTGTTTAAGCTCGTCTTCCAAATCTGTACCTCTGCTGCCAGGGCCGGTGTTTCTTCTAGGAAACTAGGCAGCCACCTACAGCACACTGCCACCTAGGGGCACCTGGGCACAGCACAGGGTGGCTTTCTGTCTGTGTGGGACGCCAACACATCATGAATGATCCCTCAGCTAAGAGGAAGGGCAGCAGAGGTGAGGAAGAAAGGACAAAGGAAGATGCCAGGTGTCAGCGCCAGTATAGCAGCTGAGCTGCGGCTACTTTCAGTGTTCCTCTCAGACTCAGTCCCTTACTGCAAGCTGTCTGGCGGCTGCTGATCACTGAGGAGTTCCAGCCCTTCTCTTCCCATTCATCAGCAGAGGTGGAGCTGCACCTGAGGAGGAAGGTAATGTCTGATGTCTTGCATCTGTGTGAGTGTGACTTGGCCAGCCAGCCATGCATCACATGTGCAATGCCTCAGTGAGCAATGACATCATCATGATCCCATGCCTGCTCTTCTAGTGCCTGCTCTGCCTGCTGATCTTTGTCAATGTCAGGGGCGGACTGACAACTCATGGGGCCCCCAGGCAATAGGGAATCATGGGGCCCCTGTGTCCTTGCCCAAACTCAAAAAAGCCTATGAAAAAGGTACCAGGGGCATCTCATGGGGCCCCCTACTGACCCCGGGCCCTCGGGCAGTGCCTGAGTTTCCAAATCGTCAGTCCGCCCCTGGTCAATGTTGATGGTGGTGTGCTGTGTCAGATCTGTCACAGTATGGGACCACTCAGTTCAGGTGTAGAGCTATTCACCCTGAGGTCATCAGAGGACAAGGGGGCACTCTACGTTCTGGAGGAAAAGAAATGTAATCTCCAAACATGGAAAGGTTTCTTCACAGTGAGAGCTGTGAAAATGTGGAACAGACTTCCTCAAGAGTTGGTTCTGGCTAGCTCAGTGGATTGCTTTAAAAAAGGCCTGGATTCTTTCTTAGATACACAGAATATAACTGGATACTAACATTTATAGGTAAAGTTGATCCAGGGAATATCCAATTGCCTCTCGGGGTATCAGGAAGAAATGTTTTTTCCTGCAGGAGCAAATTGGTTCATGTTTTGCTGGGTTTTTTGCCTTCCTCTGCATCAACTGTGGGTATAGGATTATAACTTTTTTTTCTTTTTTTAATGATTGAACTGGATGGACTTTTGTCTTTTTTCAGCCAGACTAACTATGTAACTGTTTCATGTAACAGTTTCATGTTTTTGTTGTTTTAATATTTCCTACTTTTTTGTTTTAATTTTTTTTTTTTTTGGGGGGGCGCAAGTAGCTGGTCTTGCCTAAGGTGCAAAGCAGTCTAGCTGTCTGCTGTCTGTTGTCTGACCATGTTCATGCCTCCTGTTTCTGCAAGCCCTATTCTTCAACT